TATTCACAAAAAAAGATTGTAAAATTTATTAAAGGAGTAAGATTGTTTAATTGTTTTTTATGTTACAAACAAAAGAAATGGGAAAGCTCAACAAATTGTTATTAACCATCTGCAAGAAATTACGAGAGAACATAATTTTGTAATTTCATTATATTTTTAATTCCCAACAACTTTTTCTTGTTCTTCTTTTCGATGTGCACGGTAGGTATCTTCTAAAGGTAGATACGAAGAAAAAGTGAGATAAACCAAGAGAGAGGGAGAGATTGAGAGAGAAAATGGATTTCACGATGACAATATGAATATTCATATAGCATTTAGGCCGCCACGTAACTCAATTAACGGAGGAATAATTGTCCGCTGTCCGAGACAATGAACGAACGAACGGGTACGACGAGTAGAAACGTTGAGAAAGACCCGCTTTGGGTTTATCCGATTTAGTAGCAAACTTCTTGAGATTGAGACATTCGAATTTGATTTGCTCTTCGAGAAACGATTCGCGTACACGATTTTGCCAATTTCGTAAAAAGACTTTTTTTTGGCTAATTTCAAATACTGCTAAAGTTTTTCAACCCCCTTATTTTACCAATCAGTCGTGGGATTCTCAATGAAAAATAGAAAAAAAAGAATTTAGAGTTTCGTGATTTCCATTTATTGACCTAAAAATCGCATGATCGGTCCACAGTTAAAATGGTAGAAGAATGATTTAGTTAATTTCATTTGTGAATATCGTATAACGCGAATACAAATGCAACAATTCTATCGTTAACCATTTTCAAATCTTATCCGTCGCACTATGTCGAGATTCGTTAATATTCATGACTGTGGAGAGGATGGTACGGACGGATGATAACGCTTATCTTGACTCTGACGCTGAAATAACTCGATAGCCGAGAATCCTAAGCAAGCGCTTTCTCTTCTCGTCATTTTCATTTTTGTTTCTTCTATTCTTCTTTATCTTTCTTTTTTAGTTTCCCTTTTTTACTTTGAACATATATCACTAAAATATAAATCGAATAATTGATAAAAATCTTGCTTGCGTTTAAAAAAAAATCTTTTTAGATGATAAATTTAATATAAAATTAAACTTAAAGTACAGTTAGGATCAAATAATTATTAACAAAGTGTGTTTACACAAATGTTAAAACGATTTAAAAAAAAGAAAAGACAAATGCGTAACACTTTCTGTGTCAAGAGTTGCATTTAAAGTTCATAATGTAGGAGGAGTAAAAGATTTTAGAAGCAGCTTTGTCGAATACCGAGGATACAGAAGAGAAAAAAAGAGGTGGATGACCACCTGTTGATGCCCTCCTGAATATTCGACCCGCGTCTTCCTGAGTGATTATTAGACATTTTTGAATACACTAACCTTCCCCACCACCATCACCAAGTTGGGAAGAAACTTTCAACTTCGTTTTCTCTTCTCGAAACTAAAATCTTTCTTCGCGTTTGAAATAAGGGTGTTGTATATCCCTTCCTTTTGGTCTAATGTCTGTTTCTCTAACGTTTGTAAATTCCTATAGTTATGATTTTCTTCTCGCTAAAGTTATTTAACGTGAGTAGTTGATAAAAAGAAGGATTCGTTCGATGTATCTTGAATGAACTTCTAAAAAACCGATTCGTCAATTGAAAATATTCCTCGTGCAATGTTATATCTTGTTTATACAACTTTTATTCACTCACTGATATTTATTGTCATAGTAGAAAGAAGATGGAGATAAAGTGATAAAAGAATCAAAAGAAAGATAGAGAGAGGGGGAGAAACAGAAGAAATGTTTTCAAACCTTGTATAACTTGTTTCTCGCGAGTTCGTGCAAATTTATCCCTAATCTCTAATAGGTAAAATTGACAAAAATATGTACGTAGACGTTGTTCTTTCTCATCACGTAGCAAATCTACAGACGTAGTTGTAATGTTTTGAAAAGAAGAGGATTTGTGAAGGTGAAGGTGGAGGTGGAGGTAATGTAGGTGGAGAACGACGACGACGACGACGACGACGATGAGAAGAAGAAGAGTAAAAGACACGTAGGAAAAAAAGAAAGAATAGTGGGGAAAAGGATAGACGAAGGATAGGAAATAAAAAAATAAGAAAAAGAAGAGAGGGTGGTAGAACGAAAGAGAGAAAAAGAGAGAGAGAGAATCGCAGGACGGTGCAAGAGAATCACTTGACGCAAAAGAGCGAGACGTCAGGGCTCTTGCATCCGGAGAAATGGAAGGGTAGGATCTGGCTTCCGACTGTCTGTTGCCATAGCAACCACGACCACCCTTTGACTGAAAGTATAAAAGGGCCAGAGGCGGCAAATCTCTTGTACGTACAATAATCCTGCGTTGCCGCGGCTTGCTACTTTACGATCTGACTAGGCGTTCGTTCTATCCTTTCATTCGTCATCGTCGTCGTTCGAGGATTTTCAACAAGCAGCCCCCCCCCGCTTTCACCTCTTCTCCGAGAACTCAAATCGACCAGGAAGGTTAAAAATGTCTATTTTTAACATTATTAAGAATGGCCCTTTTGTAACAAAACTATTTTATAGAACGTTTCTTTTATAAACACTTCGAAACATCTGAGACTTTGTCTTTGTCTCCCTCTTGGTGCAACAAAGTCTGCTAAATTTGTTTGCCACACGAGACAAAGTTAGGGGAGTCATGGTAGAGACGATACAAAAACGATGCCTCAGACCTAGGAGCTTCGATGTTATAACCTAATTTATAACTTTGCTTCTGTATTATCCACTGTTAACGTACCGTTAAGGACGGAAAGAGATACAGGACTCATTTATTCGCTCAGCTTTTGGCCTTGTCTTGTACATTGGATTGCATGCATGGTACCCATCGTTTACCAGGTCGGAATGTAATTTTCACATTCACCAACGCGTTAATGTTCCTCTCTCGTTCTCCTTCTTGTTCTCCTCTTTCATTCTCTCACAAGCCTAGATAAGTTCGTTGCATAAACACATGTAAGTATCATTACTTTTGAATGTCACTGAAAATGGGAAAGTTGGGAAGGTGTGAGAGGTACGAATGAAAGGGTTTGGTCGGTAAAATTTCAACAAGTTTTTGCAAAAGCTACGAGCAAGTATTAAACGTATGCTTGAAACATAATATCACTATAATTTGCATTCTGAAACAATAATTTTAAGGACCAGTAATTATTTGGGTTGCTTTATTTGATAATTCAGGTGCTAGTTGTCGTGTGATTTTCAAATTCTGATGAACTAATCATACACGCGTTTATACATAGACATGATACACGGAACACTGTTGATCGTGAAAACTATTTCTTGGTTGCTTGCATGCTATCACGCGTTATCGTCGTCATGGATAAAAATAAGATTTCCATTCGTCGTTCTCGCGAACGATATTCATAAGCCGAGGGGTAATAGCGGTCCTCCACCCTCGTTTTCTCATTTCTGTTGACGCGATAACAGTCCAGCAATGTGCGAAAAAATAGCCATAAAACGGCCTGCACAAGAGAGAGAAAGAGAGGAGGACAAAAATTCGATTCCTCCAGCCTCCACCTTATCCCTTTTTCCCATGAGATAGCCACTACTTATTTTCTTATCTAACATGATACCATACAACGGGATGAAACATACCTGAATATTTTCTTGATATTGCTTCGAAACGATAATACTTTTTCCCCACTCTTTATTTTTATCTCGTTCCTACGTATGTCGCTAAAATCCAAATATCTTTTCCTCGACCCTTCCTCTTTCTAACAACCTCGGAAAATCCACTACTTTTCGTTTGGTAGATCTTCTTTTTTCTTCTCTCCCTTTTCTTCGTTGTATCTGATCGCATGTTTTCGACATCAACTTTAATCATAAGAGTTCGTAAAAATTGAAAATAAATGATATTTGTATAGTAAAAGTTTCCTTATATATATATGGGAGTTGCAGCAAGCTGCAAATGCGAATAGGATGATAGTATCGTGGAACTGGCGACGATAAACGGCTTACTATCGGTCACCGGAAAATTTAATATTCCGTAGGTTTCTCTGGTATATGGATCATATACACAAGGTTGGGTAAAAGCACGAAGCTTATACCTGGGTATATTTCTATATATCGAACAAAGTTTCCTTGTCAGAAGAGGTCAAAGTGTACGCGACGTAGAGAAGAGGATACGCAGAGTCCTTTCAGGAAGGAAGCATTCGGTTCATGCGACACGTGACGATAACGTGACACGACTGCCAGCGGTCACATGTGTAACTTCCCCGTTATCTCTTAAACGCACACAGCGACAATGTATTACTACTTGGATATATACAAACACACACACACACACACAAAGACACCTGTAACAGAACTAAGCAACCACCGGTGGTGGTTCGGTCAGTTTAGTACTTTAAAACCATTCGACTCGCGTGTACCGAGCGCATTTATAATGACGTACTTGTCTATCTCTTTCTATCCAAATGTTTTCACTAAACTACCCACCCTTCAAACTACCTAACCCAGCCCCGATCCACAGTCGATTGTCCTATGAGTTTTCTACACACCCTTCTTCTTTTAAGCCATTCTCAACGAGTAAACGAATGATGGAATTTATTAATTATATGATTCTATTATTTTATATTTAATATACAGGGTGGGACAATATCTCTGTCCAGTTAGAATATTGTCGTTGTTTATAACAATATGAAAAATTTTATATACGCAACTTACATGGCATGATGAGGGGCATTTTTTGCGTGGGTGGAGGCATAGAGGAGATTTCAAGGTCATCTGCATTTTTTTAAATGAATATTATTTTTTTTTTTTTTAATGAGATGTGATCGCAAATGCTGAGACGAATTCAACGAGCTATTATTCAAAGTCATGCGAGGTTAAATGTGGTAGAAAATAAAGTTTCTTACATTACAGAAGATGTTCGAAGTAGATTTTAATAATTTATTATTAAAATCTAAATATATTATATCTAAAAAATAATTTTAAAAAATTAATTTTTATTAATCTAAAAAATAATAAAATATTATTATCTATATTCTTTGTTTAAAAGAAAATTTTTGTTGGGTAATTGCAACAGTAATGATTACGTTTTTAACGCCAGAATTTATATTATTTTATATTCTAGGATGAAACGGATAAAAAAAAGGATGTCTTACAAAATAATTCTCGTTGCACGCAAACCAGAAAAAATTAAAGGGAAAAGGGATAGATAGGGAAAGAGAGAAAACGAGACAAGAAACAAACTTCCTAGGTATTAAATTTTCACTCTTCGTTGAACTACCGACTATAAACTATATCCCTAATTTTTTGTTTGCAGCGATGAGCATAAAATCTTCTTCGATTTGGGCACAACTTTGGAGTTTGAGATAAAAAGAGACAGAGAGAGAGAGAGAGAGAGGTAAGGAAAGAAAAAAATTCAGTCGAGTGGATAGCTATGAAACCACGAGAGGCGGCGTTCTCCATTTACATTTTATTATTTTTTTTTTTAATATAAGTTAGTCGTATTCTTGAGAATGGTATAGTATCATTCCGTTACGTCGCCAACGCGGAATGTTGTTTCATCGAGACGACGACGACGACGACGACGACGACGAAGACGATGAGAAGGGAAACCACGGCAATAATAGCGTGTCCCGTTGTTATTCTATCCGACTGCATTCGCCATTAGTTCTTTTATTTCGATAAACACGGAAACTCTGAATTATATAATAATTCGAAAGAACGAGAGATATTGTCTTCTTTACTTAGGGGTGGATTAAAGTAAACAAGAAAATTTTTTTGTGTGGCTAACAACGAGCTAAATTATTACATCGTTGTAAACGATAATAAAATTCGGGGATGATTTCAAGCAATTTTATTGAAATAAATTGACAGCAACAATTGTATTAACTAATAATTGTTTTAATATAAAATTTACCAAATAATATATTCTTAAAAATCTGTCAAATTATTGCGTACCCTGATCGAGAAATTGTTTTCCGCGTGCTTATACAATTATATATAGAAAAAAAAAAAAAATAATAATTAAAAATTTTAAATACATTTATATAATACTTTCATTTTTACTAGTATACGCATTTGTCCATTGAAAATTTCTTTCCATCTAAATCTGCCAATTTCAGTAACCACAGAATTTTTGTATGTATAATACATTCGCACGACGCTTACGGTGAAAAGCGAGAACATCGTGTGAGAGTTAGGGGTGGGAAGGGGAGAGGCAGAGGAACGAAAGGCAAAATGGAGGTTGGTTGGTTGGTGAGATGAGAAAGAAGGATGAATGGCAAGCAAGACCGAAGGGAAAGGATGGAATAGAGAAAAAGATGCTTCGACGAAAGAAGAGGGGAAGAAGAAGAAGAAAAAGAGGGAAAGGAAGAGATAAAAAAGATATAAAGAGAGAGAAAGAGAGATAGATAGATAGAGAACAGGAGAAACAGAGCGAGATGAACAAAAGGAGGCAGAAGAAAGCGGGTTCGAAGCTTTACCAACCACTCGACGAGACACCTGCGGGAGGGAAAAATCTACTCCTTTGAAAAGCGAGTAAGTAGAAAGGTTTATTGAGGCCTGGGACGCATAGTCTCCTGAGGACATGCTAGAAAGTGCGAGTGAAACCTCTTCTACCGGCTCTTGCAACGACGAGCTTCGTGCATCCCTTAGAGAACAGGCCAAGTGTATTTACTACGCGCTGTCCGGAACCTGAAAATTGGAGATTTGTCCTCGTACTTTTTTATAACAACAACAAAATGTCAACATTTCTTATTTGGAAGATATAAAAACTCTAAATTGTTATAGAAAATTCTAGTTATATTGTTTAATTATTGCTACATCTTTTATAAAACTACAAACAACCCTTCTATTATTTTTTGCATATTTCATATATATATATATATATATATAATATAGTAATAATATATTATACATTTATTATTTTAATATAATATTAAATATTATATTCATATTTATATATTTCATATATATTATATATATTTAGTTGCTATATAAAATAAGATTGAATAAATTAATTACTGAATTGATTAAACCAACTAAAAAAATAAACTTTCATTAAATTAACTATTTTATCATATTATTACAAATACTATTTATCACAATCGATATTATATCCTACTTATATTTTATATCTGATCGTTATAAGAACAAATCGAATGTTACCATTCACATATCCAAGAGACGAATTTGATAATTGAAAGCTTACGCCTAATAAAACAAAAAATAATCACGCGCAAAGATAATTAAAATGCAGTAATGTAAATAAAGAGACAGAGGGTTTGCCGAAAAGTGAAGTTTCTCGGAAGTTTCTAGAGGTTGGGTTTTGTTGGTTGAATAGTTGGCGGATGACTGCTTTTCCAAGATCGTAGGAACATAATTGGATATAATTTTTGCGGGCTTGCTCTAACCGAATTAGGCGGGCGGGTGCTACGCTCCAGCGTGTTTGCGTTACTACTGGTTACTACTCGTGTTGCTGTCGCGGAATGGAGTAGTAAGAGGAGTAAAAGGGAAGAAGAGTTTGAGAGAATGTTGGTGTACGCGTAGGAAAGTAAAAAAAGAGAAAGAAGAGAACGAAACAGAACGGAACAGGAGTAGAGCATAGGAAGTGCCAGGAGGTAAAGAACAAGCGTGCGAATTATTAACAGAAATGCTGAGGTCTTTTGTCTCTCTTCGTTGAAAGTGCCCCACGAGTAACACCCGACGAAATAAATCAGCCCTAGGCGATCGCGAAGCAAGAGACCGCCACCACCACGACCAGTACACTTCTATCACCCTTTCCTCTGTTTATTCTTTCCGATTGACGCCACTTTTTACCCTCGTATAATCGAAATTTCGTGCTGTATTATTACATCGTATCCTGATGATGGTCCCCATTTGCTCTTCTAATAGAAGATTAAAAGACCGATTAACTAAGTATTAGTTCTTATTTTATATGACTTATATTTATTTCTAAATAAAACTTGTTAATATCTTTTTTTCTTTTGACAGCATAGATAGTACTCGTTATTATTACATATCTTAACAAACAATCACAATTTTTGATTAAAAATTAGAACCAAGAGAAAAGTTAGGGGTTATCTTTTTTAAATTACATAACGGAACGAATAAGCTTTCAAGAAGTTTAGTAAAACGCATTGCTGAGGGGACACACACATTCACACAAGTGATAAAAGTGAAAGGTGGAAAGAAAGATAAGAAAGACAGAAGAAAATGAGGTGGTATATATATAAGTCAGTAGAAATGGTTGAAGATAGTGGATACGAAATCGAAGCGGGAAAAACGATGAAGTAAAGAGAGAGAGAGTAAGGGGTAAAGTGGTTGTGTTGGTTCTGTGCGCGCTTTCGCATTAAGATCCCGCTAGTTTATGGAGTGAATTAAATGGCCGTAAAACCGGGCGATTATCCGCCTTTAGGAGATTATTAGCTGCGTTTACTGCCACGAATACAAACGAGCAACAAGAAGCTCGGGCTCGGGTGTATATTCAAAGAACACTTTGAAATTAATACCTCTTGCTAGCTAACATACATAAGTAGTATATGTTACATTTGATGAAGGAGGTTAACCAATCGATAAAATTCAACTAAATAGGTTAATTGTAATGAGTTTTTTGAATAATATGAAGAACCAATGACTATTGTAGTGTACTTTGAATTGGTATTGTCGTTTAAACCCCATTAACTGTGGTAATAATAATATTGTTCGATAATAGTAAGCACATGTAAAATAGATATATATATATATACAGGAAGAGTTATGCCAACGTATATAACATCGCTTTGAATAACGCATTAATGAGGAGTCAATCAAGGAACCGGGAGGACTTCCAATGAAGCACTAAAGCCAACGTGCTTTGGAATGGCATATCGTCGTAGTAGTTGGTAGTACGCTCTCGAGGACGCGGTTACCCCGTTCCAGGACGTTAACATGGAAACGCAACCGCAACGCCAGCAACGCCGTCGTCGTCGACAACGGCGACAACGGGGACGACTACGACGACTACGACGACTACGACGACGACGATGTTGGCGACAACGACACCGGGTATCCTCGTACACTGCAACGGACGTTTTAGAGCCCCCTTTCACCGCCCCCCCCCCTATAAACGTTTCTCTCCCCTCTCACCCTATTACTGCTGCTTCCAACGACATGGGATTAAAACAAATTTAACGTTACGTTATTTGACGTTAACGAAAGTGACGCAGAGAAAGAGAGGGAGAGAGAGACGATTTTGAACGATTTATGACAATATTGAATATTTAAATAATATATATATATAGAAGGGAAGAGACTCCCTGATCCATCAGAAATTCCTTTCCAACGATCGGTGGGTAGGTTTCTTCCTCCTCCTCTTCCTTCTTACCGCAAATATTTCTCCCTCGTAAAATGATCACAAGAGAGAAAGAGAGAGAGAGAGAGAGAGAGAATGAGAGTGGGGCAGGGGTTGGTTGCATGCATAACTTTCGAGAATTCTCGGTAATGTTCACCGATAGTCGTTACGACAAACAACGCGAGAGAACCACCATAGAAAGGGGAGGATAAGGGGGGGGGGTCCATTGTTAGTAACTTTAACGATACGTTCGGATAAATGTGAAAGTTAAACTACTAATTCCTGTCATTGGGGGGCTATATTTAGCGTGTTACTAATGCCATAGCTTGTGGCAATGTACATTGTGTCCCTTTGATTTTATCGAAAGTACGAAGACGTTCCTATTAAAGAGAGATGGGGATCGTCGTTTTAACGCGAAATGTTTTCCCAAGTGGTTTCGTTAAACTTTTGAACTTTAGCATAGGCGATAATATTCGCGTTAGACGACGATGATGACGACGACGATGACGACGACGATGACGACAACGAAGACGACTAACTAATTTCTTTCTTCTTTCAAAGTCGTTATCTGATCGATATCGTGTTGAAAGAAAGATCCTAAGAAATATTATGATTTCAACTGGTGATCTGATGTGCTAAAATGGAACGATAAAAGTACAATAAATATGATAACTTTGATGATTAAAATAAACAACCCCTTTGATCGAATTTCAATATTATTTCTGCATCAATGATAACGCGTTAAAAGAATTTTGAATATGTTGTTACGACTTTAATTATCGATCTCTTCGAGTTATCTCTTCCATTTCTCTTTACTTATCCTATCTCTATCTCCTCTGTCTTTTATTTTATTTTTTTTTTCTTCTTTAGGAAGACGCGCTCGGTCAGCAAAAATTTAATTAAGAGGCACGCACGTTGCGACAACCGTACTCTCTTCTCTCTTTACGGCTCACCACCTCCTCGCCCCTTTTTCATTCTCTTTTCATTTGTCACAAGTCCGAGTCCTAGGGGTGCGATCCGTTGATTAAGATCTCCGACGGCATCAGAGTCTGGGAGGAGAACGGTCCGTTAGTCGTCGGTAACCACCACCACTACCAACCATCACCACTCCTACTATCCAACCGTTCTCTTCCCAAACCCTACGGACCTGTCCCCGCAATCCTGACCTGACAATTCCGATATGTTAGGATACCCAGCTGCCATATACTCGTCACTATTAATCATGCGAGAATAATTACCTGGAGACGTTTCTAATTAGAAAGTTATCGTTACAGGTGATGACCGTCGTACGAGGATCACTTTGGGGTTGACAAGAACTAAAATCCATCGGGACGTTCCTTGGGCTTCTATCAAACTGTTCAGCTCAATGAATTTCTCTTAACTCGGACTCAACTCGACGTGATGCTAGAATTGCTTCAAATAATTGACGGGATTGTGTTTTTGGGTCGATGCCAAATTTACGATTGAAATGCTACTACTACGACTCAAGGACTATCTACGCATTTGGATTTGATATAAAGTAAAAGAGATATAAA